GCTGAGAGGTGAATAACGGGCGAACGGTATCCCGACAGTCCCGCCCCACGTCATAATGTGGTCGCTGGCTGTCATTGTGAAAAAGATAGTAGCATGCAATCAGGTGAGATCATGTCTGACTGCTTTTCGGGACTGTTGTTCTTACTTGATAACTACTCTCACGGCCGGGAGCCCAGAGCCCTCCGTCCCAAGGGCACTGCAGGCTCTCTCTGAAGCGCAAAATTTATCATGAGGAGGCTGAATATTTGCAACCGGCATATAGACAGGCTATGGATATGTGGGGACAACGGCCTGCGTATGGGTCAACATCGGATTCTTTGCGTGACATCGGATTCTCGAGGAATGCCATGACGGCTTTGGCGGCTGGCGAGCTGCTAAGCTGCCCAACCCTGCCCCCACCTGCCCCTCCTCCCCCTTGCAAAGTCACGGCCCTGCGGCATTTGAAGACTGCAGTACACAAGAGAACAGAGAGCGATAGATAGTACACACGCCGGTGATAACCCTTTGGCAGTTGCAGCGCCCTCTCGTCTCGCACTAGCCCGCGGGGCACGCCATCTCACTCGCAGCTGTCAGGCGCACCAGCAGCCGTCTACAGCAGGCTTGCGTGCCAATTTCGGGAAGTGGACGTAAAAATGATGCTCGTCTAGACTTGTCGCAGGACTTTTCTCGGGGCGGCACAGTGATTGCAGTGGGTTTGGTGGAAGAGGGTGGAGAGAGGCCCACTGGCAAAGCAGTACTTGCTCCGTGTTGCGCGGATACGTCATGCTGTCTGCCCGCCGCGGGGAGGGGGACAACGCTGCAATTTGCGGCGGCCACCAGGTCAAAACAACCAACAAAGTCAGTCCCTTGCTGGCCAGCCTCACGACACCTTGGCCAGCTACACCCACAAAGCCATCTGCAAAGCCAGTCGTTTGCACGTGCATCCTCCTAGCTCCCGCTTTCTTGCTTTGGGCGCCGGGTAGACAGGCCGGAACTCACTGAGGCTTCCCTGCAAATAGCTCAATCACGATCGATCGAAGCTACCGGAAATTTCACAGCGTCCTTCCACCGCCTCTATCTATACCTTCACCTAGACCCTCTCGCCAGCTGTGAAAACGGCCTCTGCTCTCCGACACCTGTATCTGCTCACCATCTCTATCCCCCTCCCTATACAGCCAATTCCTCATCGCGGGGCGACAACGCCAGCCCGCCGCCCAACATGACTACACATATCGTTTCTCTGTAGGTAGTCCACCATTTCCTCTCCTAGTTTGCAGACTGCCTGTTTGTTTCTTTTCCTCTTGACTAGTAGGTAAACATCTTCAATTCCTCTAATACAGCTAGTTTCCTGCCCTATACCGTCGACTTTCAAGACAACAAGTCTGCCCCTCCAAGCCCACCCCAAGCAGCCGTACCTACTCAGCTGAGCGACACTCTTCGCAAGCCATCCAATACCAGCCTATCGAGCACACGGCCCACACCCGGCCAGAATGAAGAGCAACCACAGAGTCTCCTTAAGCGGGCGCCGCCCTCGCACATCGCGCTGCCCAAAGCCTCGACACGCATGACCGAGCACGAAGACTTCTTCACGCCTGGCCAGCCAAGCGCCGCCACTCATTTCCCCAATGCAGCCGACCCCCGCGGCCTGGTCCGCAGCGATGCCCATGTCCCTGAATGGGGTGGCAGCGGCATCTTCTTCAACCAGCCCGTGTCCAGAGCCGAGCCCGCTCCACCGGACACGATTCTCGAATACGCAAAGGCGCAAGAGCGGGCGCAGGCTCAGAAGGAACGCATGAAGGGCTCGCACGCTGGCAAGCCAGTGACAGACCCGAGATGGGCTGCCGAATATAGAGTTGTCCCTGCTGCCCAGGGCAACGGCGGCCTGACCAACGCTCTCCGTGCTGCAGTCGACAACAAGTGCCTTAGTGATACCATCACCGTTGGCCTGATTGGCTTCCCTACAGACAGTCTGAACGAAGAGAAGAAGACTGAGATTTACGAGAAGCTTGAGGAGGAACACGATGCCCTGACCGTCTTTGTCAGTGACAAGGACTTTGATGGCCACTACGCCCACTACTGCAAGACGATTCTATGGCCAGTATTTCACTACATCATTCCTGACCACCCTAAGAGCAAGGCTTTCCTTGATCACTCCTGGGTCTTCTATGTCAAGGTCAACCAAGCTTTTGCAGACAAAGTTGTTAAAAACTACAAGCGCGGAGATGTCATATGGGTGCACGATTATCACCTATGTCTTGTTCCTCAGATGATTCGCCAAAAGCTACCAGATGCACAGATTGGCTTCTTCCTGCACACAGCTTTCCCGTCCTCTGAGGTTTTCCGATGCCTTGCTGCTCGGAAGGAGCTTCTCGATGGTATGCTTGGAGCAAACCTTGTCGCCTTCCAGACACCCGAGTACGCCCATCACTTCCTGCAAACCTGTAGTCGTATTCTCTCCGTAGAGGCTACAGAGGACGGAGTTCAGCTTGAGAACCGCTTCGTCAACGTCTGGTCCTCGCCCATCGGCATTGATCCTCGCGCACTGTCTCTAGCTCGAGAAGAGCCGGAGGTTCTGGAGTGGATTCAAACCATGCAGAAGCGTTATGAGGGAAAGAAGGTCATTGTTGCTCGCGATAAGCTAGACAACATTCGTGGTGTGCGCCAAAAGTTACTAGCTTTTGAGCTGTTCCTTAATAAGTATCCTGAGTGGAAGGACAAGGTTGTCATGATCCAGGTCGCAACATCTACTACCGAAGATACCGAGTTGGCGGCAACCGTTTCTGAGATCGTTACCCGTATCGATGCTGTCCACTCGACCTTGACTCACAATCCCCTCATCTTTCTCAGACAGGACATTTCCTTCTCGCAGTACCTTGCTCTGCTATCCATTGCCGATGCGCTTGCCATTACCAGTCTTCGCGAGGGCATGAACTTGACCTGCCATGAGTTTGTCATTTGTCAGGATGGACGCGGAGGCGAAAAGAAGCACAGCCCCGTCATCCTCAGCGAGTTCACTGGTAGTGCGTCAATTTTTGATGGTGCGGACCTCGCTATCAATCCATGGGACTACAACAACATTGCTGAAGCCTTCCGGATCGCCTTGGAAATGAAGGACGATGAGAAGGAGCGAAGGTTCACCAAGATGCGCAACATCGTCATGAACCAGACTGGCGATAACTGGGTCAAGAAACTGAGCACTCACCTTGCCAAGGTCTACGAAGAGCAATTCAAGCGCGATACTATGTCAATCCCCCGACTTTCTTCGAGCAGCCTTGGAAGTGCCTACCAGCAGTCACAGAGACGCTTGTTCATTCTAGACTATGAAGGCACTCTTTCGTCGTACGGGTCTGTCAATAAGACTATTCTCGCTAACACCGAGCGTGTTATCGTTCTTCTTAACGATCTCGTTGCCGACGACAAGAATGCCGTTTATGTAATGACTGGTCGAACTGTTCGAGAAACTGAGCTCATTTTCAACCGCGTCCGTGGCCTTGGTCTCATTGCAGAGAATGGCTGCTTCTTGCGCGAGCCTGGCGCGAAAGAGTGGATTCAATTCCCTGACGAGGAGAAGACAGTGAAGTGGAAGGACTCAGTCAAGCCGATTCTGCAATACTACCTTGAGCGTGTCGAAGGCAGTTGGGTTGAGGAGCGCCACTGCTCGATCATCTTCCATTACAACAAGTCTGACGACAAAGACGACTCTACAAGTCGACACGCCGGCGATTGTGCGAATCACATCAATGACGCTTGCGAGCAGCAGCGTGTCAAGGCAATCCCCACAAAGGACTCAGTAGTCATTGAGCCAGTAGACTTTGACAAGGCTTCTGCTGCGCAGCACATCTTCAGCAAGTACCCAGAGGATGCCCGGCCCGACTTCCTCCTCGCTGCTGGCAATGACCGCAGTGATGAAAACGTCTTCCGCTGGGCCAAGCAACTCAAAGACGATGCCATTGTTCCCAACGTGCAGACTGTCACAGTTGGTGATCGCAACTCAATTGCCATGTCGACACTCCCCAACGGGGCAACTGGTAAGTCATTCTTTTGACAATTGATATATAAAATGCTAATAATTACAACAGGCCTACTTGGTGCTTTGACAAAGCTTACCAAGAATCCTCGCGGTTCACCTTAGGGCTTTTGAAGTATATTTCGAGCGAGGACGACGTAATGATTGGGACATGTCTCACGCATTCGATACCCCTTCTCACGAAGTAACGATTTGGCAATGGAATGGATGCACAACAGCGGCTCGCGTGAAGATGAAGGATCACGGGAGAACTTCCGCTATTAATGAATCAACGTCAAGCACTGCATGGGCGGAGTTTAGCGGGGTCTTTTACTACGATAGATTCTTTCCGCATTCAATACGAAACCCAGAGGTGAATGCTGTTTCTTGAAGTGCCGCCCGTGAAGACTTATCCACGATGCGGATATCTATTCCGAATTTCTGCGGGTTTTACATAATCATACGTCTAGATAAGCTCTCCCCTGCTCAAAAGTCACGGGCAGGAAATGTATGCATGTGTTGAGGGACTACTACCTAAAGCGGAGAGAAACGCCTAGCCCCCGGTCAGCGATATCACTAGCCTATGCTCTTGGTAGACTAAAAGAAATTTGAATACAACAGCCGCTTTCACCACCATAAATTTTAAAATGTTGAATTTCATATGCTAGCGTACTAAAATATTGCATATAAATTGATGTAGTGCAAGGGAAAAATCATATAATTCTGTAATGCTGGAGTGCAGTCGTGTGTTATTAATGCTGCATTGTTTTGGTGAGGGCGTTTGGGTTAGTAGTGTTTATCCGGGTATTTTAGTTCACCGAGAGTTACTCTGATAGCTTAGTGTAAGCTCAACCCCGCTTCGCATGTACCTGCTTTCTCGAGAGCGAGCTAATGCTCGTCCCTGGTCGTATCTACGGCCCGTTGCCAGCCTACCAGACCATAAATACGTACAATAAGACAGGTGAAATACACCCCAGGCCTTTTCAGTAACATAAACCTGGTATAGACTTTCGCAATGCCACAAACCGTCCAACTCAAGGCGCCGAATGGAAAACAGTGGGAGCAGCCGACAGGCCTCTTCATTGATAATGAATTTGTAGACTCTTCGTCCCCTTCGAATACGATATCGTCAGTAGACCCCGCCACTGAGAAGGAGATCGCTGCAGTACAGGCTGCGACCGCGGAAGATGTTGATCGTGCGGTCAAGGCTGCGAAGAAAGCACTCCAGAGTCCAGAATGGAAGTACATCGATACCAGTGAACGCGGAAGGCTCATAGCGAAGTTGGCAGACTTGGTCGAGGAGAACAAGGAGCTTCTTGCGACGGTCGATGCCTGGGACAATGGTAAGTAAACATCTAACTGTACAAGCACGCGAATGCTAATGGCTGTACAAGGCAAACCATACAACAACGCCCTTAATGAGGATCTTCCCGAATCGTTTTCCGTTCTCCGCTACTACTCTGGCTGGGCGGATAAGATCTCGGGCCAGACCGTCAATGCCACGCGCCAGAAGTTTGCGTACACTATCCGCCAGCCCATTGGTGTTGTCGCCCAAGTCATTCCCTGGAACTATCCCTTGTCCATGGCATGCTGGAAAATCGGGCCTGCTCTTGCTTGCGGAAATACTGTGGTACTCAAAGCCGCCGAACAAACGCCTCTGTCAATTCTCATCTTAGCCAGCCTCATTAAGCAAGCTGGGTTCCCACCGGGCGTGGTGAATATCCTGAACGGTCTAGGAAAGGAGGCTGGCGCGGCATTGGTACAGCATCCGTTGGTCGACAAGGTTGCATTTACCGGCTCCACAGCTACGGCTACTCAAATCATGAAGATGGCTGCAGTAGGACTGAAGAATATTACCCTAGAGACGGGCGGTAAGTCTCCGTTGCTCGTATTCAATGACGCCGACATGGAGCAGGCGGTACGATGGTCTCATTTTGGTATCATGTCGAACCAAGGTCAGATTTGCACTGCCACGTCGCGGATTCTAGTCCAGGAGTCAATCTACGAAACCTTCCTCGCTCAGTTCCGGCAGCAAGTCAAGGAGGTATCCGTCATTGGCAACCAGTGGAGCGATTCTACCTTCCAGGGTCCTCAAGTGACCAAGCAGCAGTACGAGCGTGTGCTCTCGTACGTCGACATTGGCAAGTCCGAAGGCGCGGAGCTCCTCGAGGGCGGTGAAGCCTGCAGCGGTGAAGGCTACTTCGTCAAGCCCACCATCTTCACCAAAGTGTCGCCCAGCATGCGCATCTACCGCGAAGAAATATTCGGACCTATTGTCGTTATTGCAACGTTCAAGGACGAAGAGCAAGCCATTTCCATGGCTAATGACTCGACATATGGCCTCGGCAGCGCCATCTTTACCCGGGACCTCGAGCGCGCGCATAGAGTCGCCGCCGAGATTGAAACCGGCACCGTGTGGGTGAATAGCAGTCAGGATGTAGACATCAGAGTCCCCTTTGGCGGCGTCAAGCACAGCGGTATTGGGCGCGAGCTCGGCGAGGCTGGCCTCGATGCTTACTCCCAGATCAAAGCCGTGCATATTAATATGGGTACTAAGCTCTAAGGGTCCTTTTGGATCGATGCAGTGTGATTCGGAGTCAGGACGGAGAGGTGTGTGTCTGTGTCTGTGTGAAATGGTGTGCATACTATCTATGATGACGATGTGGGCTCTTGATAACGCATGTTGCGACCGACGTTGGAACAAGGTACCATGTAGATTGATGTCATGTCATAGATGCAAGGGGCCTTGGCTCAATTGTTAGCGGTTACTACCCTTTTTCATTTTATTTTCTTGCCGCTTTTATTAAATCCCCGTCTGACAAAGTGCATCTCTCCATATACCCCGGAGAACTTGTTTTCTTTCTTTCTTTCTTTCTTTCAGCACTAACCAACTCTGTGTAAAAGAATGTGCTTGTTCCGTACTATTTCTTTCTGTCTCCATCCCTTGGCCCCATATAAAGTCATGATCAAGTTCATTCGCTGACAGCCGGGCGATATGCGGGTAAAAATGTCCTCTTGTCGAGGAAAGGAACACACCTACTCGCCCACTCACCTTTGATGTGTTTCCTCCTGTAAATGGATATGGAACTTACCGAAATGAAAAGTTGCGAAAGCGAAAGATTCAGGGACAAAAGACCAAAAAAATATTGGGTAAGAATTTCCATTGGTCGGATCGATATTCCGACAACGAAGTGCTTTCTTTTTTCGGACGCGCTCTGCATTCGATGGTCGTCGGGATGTGGGGGTAGAGTGAAACGACTTGTACAAAAACACTCGATTGCATACAAGATTCCTTTTTTTTATTCAACCAACCATAATTTCTATATGACACGAATTCTATTATAGGGTCAGCATTAATGTAGTAATGATGTCACCTTGTAGAATTTAATCAAAGCATGGGGCACACTCTCTCTCCAAATCTCTAGTCTAACAAAGAAAAAAAACCTAAAAACAGTAATAGACAAAAAGGGTAAAAAATCATACGTAGGCATGTTTAGATGTTGCAAGCGAAGTCAAAATCAAACACTTTCTTTCAAGCTTCCAATGGTCTTTTCACCGGAGAATAGGAGGCTCTGTGCACACGATATTCACCAGTCAAAACTAGGTAATTCTCACGGCAAATCTGCCCAGAATCCGCGCTGGCGGCAGAGGAAGTTTCAGATACCCAGAGTTTCCCGCTCATAGAGAAAAAAAAAGAAGGGTCTCACCACCAGAGTCATTTCAAAGAAGGGAGAGGCGGAGGCGGAAGAGCGGAGGCGATCCCCGGGATCCGGCGCGACGCGTACCTTCAATATTTTTTTCCCTCTGTTCCCACTCCCTAACCCATTAAAGCCGAAGGAAACAATCAGAAGGCAAGGAAGCGCCGCCGGATGCGCAAAACGGGAACCCGGGCGGGTTGAGAAGTTTGAACGTATACAAATGTTAATGACCGGGATACCTAAGCTATTAAAAAGAGGACTACCGTAGCCAAAACCTAAACGGGGACTTTTGGTTTTCAAAACCACAGCTGTGACATAATTGTCAGCGGCAGTTCTGCGTCGGCTGTTCTTTTTCCATGGGGGCGGGAAGGGAAAGGAAGTCGTGCCTTCGGGCCTTTTTTTTGATGATGATGATGATGATGATGATGATGATTGTTAGTTAGCATGCCGACTTGCCCGCCGTCGCCGCCGCCGCCGTCGCCGACACCCGGTCGGTCGGAGGAAAGAAACAGAGTTAAGAGAGAGGGAGGGAAGTCCCTTGTTCGGGCAGTAGAGAGAGACGAAGGGTTACGATTCAGTCGGCTATTGAAGCTAGTAAAAGTTTACCATAGTATTGGGAACAAGGGTTTCAAGCCCAGCGATCGCAGGGGGTGTGTGAGATGCGGATGGGAGGCTGGGAAGGGGTGTGTGTGTATGGTCAGCAAGCAGGAAGGGAAACATTTGGCGCAATAATTTCATGCATGAGATATTTGCTAGTCGCTTGATCTCGCAGCTGCAGGTGCAAAGAGAAAAAAAACAATAACAGCGAAAAAGCAAAGATGATAAAAAGGACAAGTGTTCGCTGGGAAAACCCGCGATGGTGGGAGCGAAATATCGTGAGATAGGGCGAAAGGATATGCGTGTGTGTGGGGGCGGCGAGGTCAAAGGGTAAAATGGATGTAACTCGCTTTGCAAGTCAATGACGTCTCGAGAGGCAGAATTGCAAGGTTGATCCCCGAACTTAATGGGGTTTAAAGATATCGTGCCCATCTTAATATCGAAGGTGGAGAGGGAGCATTGTTTCGCGACAAGAGAGACAGAGAAGGGCCAGTAGCGCATCGTCAGAGAAGGCGATGCGGCAAGAGTCCGGGCGGAAAAGCTATGGGAGCGCGGGTTCGAGGATGATTCGCTGCAGGCCCATGGATTCGCTACGTTGATCACGCGGCGGTTCTCGAGCGAGGGGGGGGGAGGGAATACGAACGCGCGTACCAAGAAGGAGTCGAAGGCGCGACAAGCGCTTGGTTGCAAGTCCAGTGCCTCGGGGCGACGCGCTAGCCCAGCTACCATGCCAGATCTAGTCCGCAGGCGGGCAGGGCTGAAAGGCTGAGACAAGTGAGTTCAAAACATCCAAGGATAGACGCCTCTTTTTTTTTAAAGTGCGCTTTCTCGTGTGGGCAGGTTGGGCAACATTGGGCAGATTGACAAACCCAGAGGCTGTGATTCGCACATGTGCCCTTGTTCCGGTGAGAGGGCGTTGGGAGGCGTCTATGTAGGGATGTGTGTGTGTGTGTGTATGTATGGTGTGCAAAGCCAACCGAGTATATCAGCCAGGTGGTTGGGCGAACACGCTACGTGCTAGGTAAATAGACGAATTGAACAAGAGCCTCACATGGTCAGGTGGGTAGATCGAAAGACGCCAATAGTGCGGACTTTCAAAAAGGTGCATGTTGGCGAAAAATAAGGGCCCAGCGGCTATGTTAAATATTTTTTCGCCACAAAAGGTACAACCACACACCCCTCCCAACAACAACGACGAAGAGAGAGGGCTTGCAACGATTGCCTAATACAGAAAGCAAACATGCTTCCTCTTACTTCCGACTTACACATGACATGTCTCCTGCTCCAATCGGCACATGTATACGCTCCCTCAACGCCCAATTGCACGCCACCCCACAAGGTGCAATGCACTTGCACTACTAGATACCCAATACATTCATGTCGACACATAAGGGGAGAGTTTCTTTTCTAAACTTTGTGCAAGGGCATATCATGACAGCGGCAACTAACATAGCCAACACGCGCCAGGAGATCTACCCCCTCGACCCATTGATTCCAGTGGTAAGCTCTTTCCATGATCAATTGACGCCCCGCGCCAACGCACACCAATGACAACTACACGCTACGCTCTAGAGACCAAGAGGGCGAGGAAGAAGGAACATCCATCTAGTCGCCCCCCCCCCCCCCAATCCAACACCAGCGCCTAACCCACATGCCGAAAGTCTTCCTCCTCCCCCCACCACCCCTTCGGCAATCAATTCCCCTTCCTTCCAGCAAAACACTTTTACTGACATGATCCGGGACGGCCACAACTCTATCATGTTGCGTCCTCTTCGCCTCCTTCCCCACCCCTACACACCATTCCTCACCTCCCTGCCCTTCCATCCATCCATCCACCAAAATATCACGCAACCAAAAGTTAGTGTGCCACAGCGCAGCCACGCCAATCTCGCCAGATCCTTCCCGTTTCCCTCCATCATCAATCTCAAACCACGTACCCCGCAGCACTTGCAACCACACACACCCCTTCCCTTCGCTTAATTACCCTTTCCAACCCTCCACTACAAACCTTTTATCCCTTCCCACCCCTCCCCCCCATGAAAGAAAATATGCAAGGATATAGGATGTAAAGGGGGGGGGGGGTTGAGGGTGACAGGGAAAAACGTGTAGTAGTAGTAAAGGGAAAAGAGGGCAAATTCGGAAACAGGGAACAGGGATTTTCGGCTTAGCAAAGAGAGATCATGATGGAGCGGGCGCCCGGCTCCAAGAAAAAAAATAAGTTTAGCAATGGCGCGATGCTGCCTCTAAGCGGCAAGTCCGATAATGCACGGAGATGTGGGCGATAGTGTGGGAGGGTTGAGGGAAGGGGAGTGGAGCGGAGAGTGGATTGGGGGGGAAGGGGAGGCGGTGCGCCGCCCCCAAAGGGACTGTGTACATGACGCTAAGGGGGCCCCAAAGAGGTAAGTATGCGGAATGGGCATGGGAAGTGCTTTGGTGGGGTGGGGATTCTTTTTCTCGCCAGAGACTATTAGTATGTTGTGTATCCAACAACACGCATACAAATGTACAAACGATACATAAAAGCGGATGCTCGATGTCGTCAGTGGATTGCGTTGTTTTTTTGGGGGAGGGGATTGTGGCGTTAGCGCTGACAATCCCCTCGAGGGGGGGCGCAAACAGGTTCAGGTCCAGGTCCAGGTAAGCAAGGGCATGGCGTGTTTTAAGGCGAGCAGCCCGGGCTTTTGTCCAGGGAAAATAAAACGTGTAAAGTGATGTGAGTGCGCGCGTGTGTGTGTGTGTGTGTGTGTGTGTGTGTGTGTGCTAGTGTGGATTATGTGGTACAGTAATACAACCTGTCACATGTTTGTGAAGGGGGGGGGGAAGACAAGAAACGCAGAAAGGGAAAATGGTTGGACCCTGACTCGTAGTCGGGAGGGAAAGGAAGGGGACCCCCCACAACCTTGTATCAAGCAACGACGGGACGGCGGAGTTCCGCATACATACTACTTACTATACTACGCACATGCATCGCGGGTCCGAGGCCCTTCCTCGAGTTGATACGGTGGGTTTGTGCAGCGGCACACACGCATCTATTGACCCGGGCAATCAAAGAGCAATGATGTGTGTGTGTGTGCAACGGGTACCAACCGTCGGTCGTCATCGACAAGGGCCCCACTCCCCTTTTTTTGGGTCGTTCCTTTTTCCAGTAAATCTCCTCTCCACCCGTTCCACGTCCAGGAAATCAAACCCGTTATCATGCAGGTCTCAACGCTTGCAGGTCCTAAACGTCGCCACAGCTCGGGATGTACTTGCTTTTTTCTCTTGCGTCGCTTCCTTCGCCCTTTTTTGTGTTCCAAAGATAGCTAGCGAGGCAGGAGATCTCCATGTGCACAACGTAAACCTCTGATTATCACTTGAAAACTCTCTACTTCATTCTAAGTTCATGATACATACACACTATGCTGTTTGTCTATTATGTGATTACTGATCTCGAAACTGTATTCAGCACTAAGCTCCAACACACTGTCTGTGCCCGGATATTTGGCCGGGCCAATGAATGATTGGACGGAATTTCATACCGAGGCCACTCGCTCGGAGTTCTGTTTCTGTCATCGCGAACGGAACGTAGCCGTGTCAATGGTGCGCCAAGCGGGATTCCCAAAAAAGTGGGTGTGCGCATCAGAACAACACATCTCGGGGGGCTATGCGGTACATAAACCCATATACAAATTAGGGGACACTGAGAAGAGGCGGTGCAGGCGGCGGGCGGGATGGCATGTTGCTGTGACGTGCATTAGCATTCACGCAAGTGGTTTTGGCAGGAATAAAACTGGAGTTTGGGGCGTTCTTCCAGTCGTATGGGTGTACGTGTGCGTGTATGTGAGGCTGGGCGGCGGGCCGGGTCTAGCGTCACCACCCGTCAGAACGGGTTAATCGCGATACACAAATCTAGATGATCGCGATAATTCCAGATAATCTAGATGTTTTCGATGGGTCCGATATGGACACAACATGTCATCTCTAACGCTGGGTGAACGTGTGTAGGTCGGAACCAAACTCCGGACCTGTCGGAAGAAGGCGCCAGGGTCAGGGTTGAGTCAAAACCAGAACACGACCCGTCGCCAAGTGTGGTAGAAGATTGACGTGCGGAAAACGGGGCGACGAGATAGAGACTGAATGTGGATGGCAGCAGGACATGTTGCGCACACATACACATATAGATGTGCATTTGTGCCATGGGGAGAACACGTCACAAATATACATCGGACTCGAGGCCCAGCCAGTCGGTCAGAAGCGAGAACCCTGTAGATTCTGATCCGAGGCGGGTTGAAACGCTGAGATTGCCATTCTGGGGCCGTGGTAATAATGGAACGGAGTAGTGAGGCAATAGAACGCGCGTGTGTGTGTGTGTGTGTGTGTGTGTGCGTGTATGTATGAGGCTGCTAAGGCTAGGGTTTGGCGCGATATCTTTTGCATATAGATACGTAGTGCATCCATGGTGATTTGGGTAATCATGGCCGTGTTTGGGTGTGTAGTATCTGAGACAACTCCCTACGATGCGGTCAGTAAGTCGTGTACATGCGCATAGCAAAGTATGTCATTGACTGGAACGATTCAACAGCCTTGTCCCACACTGGCATGGCATGCTTGGTGTTTGATGTTTGGTCCTGCTGTGACAGGTGTAGGCTCAAACAAGAAAATGAAAAACGTAAGGCAAGGATGAAATTCGCAACGTCCCATTTGCCAGGTCGGTGAGAAATGCCTCAGGAGCGAGGGTGTGATTGGGTGGGTGAGGGTGCGAAGGATTCGCAGGCGGAGAAGGCTGGTTTGGGACGGAAGCAGTCTTCCCTCGGTGGCCTGGCTGGCTGGGCATGGCAAGGCCATGTATCTCAATCTATATCGCTGACGATGATCATGGAGCGCGCATGGCCCATTTACAGCAACTGTCGGCCCAATTCAGCCGGGACCCGTCTCTTGCCTGATAGGGCTCGGGTGCATAAAAGGGCCTGAGTATTGACAGCTGTCACAGGACGAGGGGTGGGTAGGAATGGCAGTGTGCAGCCGGGGGAGGAGGCAGCGTGAGTCATGCACGTGCCAGCAGGGCGGGAGAAATTGGCCGGGACGCGCAGCAGCGGCAGTTTGTGAGCCGGGGCCGCCAGATCCCAGTTGTTTGCAAGTTTTGACGAGTCAAGCGTGAGGTTCCGCGCGAGGCGAGGGGCGAGGGAGTGGGAGGGAGCAGGCCGACGGGCGTGACTCGAGGTGGTGGGAGTTGGATGCGACGCCAGTCAGGGACAGGAAGCCAGGTCGGGACCAAGGCTAGGCGGGAGCAGCTAGCGCTCGACAGGGGCCTGACTCGCCGACGGGGACGGGTGCTGTCTGTGCCCTCCCGTTGTCGATGATGCATCGCCAAGCTGGGGAAGCGGAATTTGGAATGGACGCCACTGGTATACTGTGCGCTGCATGGGGAAAGAGCTGGAGCGGTGCCAGTGCAGGCAGGGCGCCTAGAGCGTTGGAGTTGCATGGCAGATTAAGACGTGCAGCGACGGGCTCGACAGCCGACGCGTGCTACGTGGCTGCTAACGTCTGCGTGATGTATATGTAGTACTTACTGTATGTACATACATACATACATAATACGCACATGTAAGGACGACGTATACTACATACTATATAGTATGAACCAGCTGCCTGGCAGAGGGGCAGAGGTGCTGCCGGGACCGGCGCCGAGCCAGCCAGTCACGTGCCAGACATGCCATGTCAGCGGCAGTTTGACAAGGCCGCGGCATTGCCTGCCAGCAGCTCTTCGGCATTGCTATTGGTAGCGAGCTCCGAGTGTCCCAAGCAGCGAGAGCGCAATCACGTTACGGCCCGATTGCGGTCCCTTCCCCCCTCCCCCCTCCCCACTGTCTGTGAGGCGCGATGCGACTTGACGAGCATTCCCAAGCCGTTAGCATGACCCGACAAAGTTTGGCTGCCGCGCTAGACCTCTCGTCTGCAATCAATACGCAGCATTGCCCGAAGCTGCTACCAGCGCCGAGTGATCGTCACTAACCACTCTGCTCAAAAAGACGTTGCAACCGTGTTCCAACCCCTTGCCGTCAGAGAGTCCCAGCAATTCGGAACTGGATTACTTCTCGCATTTGTTCCCTTTGCGTGCAAAATAAGCGACCTCTCGACCACCCGCCCGCCATGGGTCCTGCTGTAGCAACACCCATCGAGGTACAGAGCATGCGTGGCTCGCTGCGCTAACCTGCGCGATCGGCACACAATCGCGTGAGAATCGTGGCAACATGCGCCAAAAACCGTTTTCTTTGGGTGTAGTAGCACCTCCCACCCTCTCCTGGCCATGGGTCGCGGTCCGCCGGGCTTGTTCTCGTGCTTGTATCTGCCTGCATCAACCTCTTTCCATCCACGTCTTGCCTAGGGTACATGACTGCCGCCATTTTGCTCCCCCCCCCCAGCCCGCGACTCGGCGATGAGGTCATAGTTGACTCTTGCCGCCGAACCACTATGTGCGTTGTCCCTGCCGCCAGTGTGAACCTTGATTTTTCCCTTCCCAGAGATCTCCGTCAGCCCGCCCCGCCCCGCATCAGCACCTGCCAATTCCCTGCGAGCCCGCCAATCACCTGCCCCCCTCACCCACTAGTTGCACACCTACTGCTTACCAAACGCTTCCCTCTAGGGCTATTCTTCTTCTCCCTCTATGTTGCTAATTCTCTCGCCATATTGATATCTCTCTTGCTTGTCCCTGTCGCTTGTCTATTATCTGCCGCGCCCCTCTCCAATACCGACCCGCCCCTCTCACATGTCACACTGCCCTCCCCTCCCCTCGATAGCTTCTGCTAACCTCCTATCTTTCTCCCATACACACACGCACAAACCCACTTACTCACACTCACACACATATATATCAGGCGCCGTCGCAAATTTCCGCTTGACCAAAGTAGGCAGCTCGCGCGATCAGGTGTGATTCGTTGCATCGCCAGTTCAGCAGCGTTGACGACTCGGGAAGCCCCGCTCGGCAGCCGTCAGCCGTCAGCCGTCAGCCGTGTCATTCCATACCGTTTCCACCAGCAATGTAAGGGCGTAGCTAGTCATGCAGGTAATCACATAGTGTAAGCTGGAAGGAATTCCGACCATGTGATTTGCGGCCCCGTCCTAGTGTCTGCGGCGCTGGATGATGTCGATGGCTAGAGCTTTTTGTTGAGTGTGTGAAATTGCCGCTGTGATTTTCTCTTCCTCGTGTCGTGCTTGCCCTGCCCTGCCCAGCCTTGCTCTGCCTGTCTGTCTTTCCAAAAAAAAAAAGAGCCAGGACCAAGAAAAAACGACTCCCACCAATCCTCCTTTTGGCCAACAAAGGCAAGCCTGCCAGCATGAATCGAGATTATGTACGAGCCACAGGGAAAAAATCACGTCCTTGTTCTAGCGGCCGCCTACCTTCTCAATCAGTCTTTGGGTTTCGTACCGATCCGCTTTGACACTGACCGGGTCCTCTTCAGCGGGGCGGGCGCAACCCAATGATACCCTTGTTTTGCCCACCCTATACTGGGGCCCTTTTCTTCATTACGCTCTCGAGTTTCACGCCCGAGCAATGGTGCCATCACTCGGGAATTGGGAATCCATGCATTGGGGACCTCCGGGAAAGACGGAGAAGGGGGAGGACGGGGAAAGTGGAAGAGCGGGAGAAAGCGAATGTTTTTTTTTGCCTTTTTTGAACATGACTTGGAATTTGGGTATATGGCAATACCGTGCAGTAAACAACAGGTGCAGTAGGTACATATTACAGACGCTAAGAAAAAGGCCCGCCTGCAAGCAAGGGTGGTGATGCAAAACGCAATGCCAAAGGGCCTATTTGCGTACAGCGTCGGATACATGGCGTCGTGAAGCGCACAAAATCGGCGGGCGCGCTCTGCACACGCCGCTCGTCTGAGAGACCGTGGCGATGGTGGGAACCACGCCGCAAAGGGAAACACCGTGGGATAATGACAACGCCGGTCCTTTTCCTGTCCGTCTAGCACGGATCCTCTGTGCAGTGTACCTCTGATATAAAGAAAAAAAATAAAAAATAAAGAACCAAGTGCCAGTAGTAGAAGCCAAGCTGCAAAAAGTGAGTACGACGCCCGGGTTGGGGTATAGCGGAAGCCGTCTCTTGTGCAGACACAAACACCGGCCAAGATGCAGATGCGAATGCAAACAAAACAGAGACTCGAGTCTCCAGTGAGGAATAATCGTAGATGGCATGGTAAAAGCCCCTTGTTTTATGCCGGAGCAGTAGGACGAACGGGCGGCGTGACGTTAGATTGGGATTCAAAGTTGTTGACTTTGCGATACTTAGAAGCTTCGTGGGGGACTTCTGATTTGCGCTTGGTCGAAACCAGGCTTGCGGGAGCCTCGGTGGGAGAGTGCCCTTCCTCGCTCTTGCTGCGTGCTTCTGCTGGAGCATCTGTCGCAGGAGGGCTCGTGGGCTGCTGCACAACGCACCACCGGTGTTTCCGTTGCCAGGTGGCATATGCCTCGTCAGCAAACTTGGCATGGTTCTCTAGCCGCTTGATGAAGTCCTGTGTCAAGGCCAGTTGGTCGCTCATGTTTTGTGCTGGCGAACTCAGTCGGTACTGGTCTTCGCCAGGCAGCGGCCGTCTCCAGGGCTCCTGGCATCCTTTGCATCGCTCTAATTGAGGAGCATTCTGCTGCTGTAGTGGCGGCTGCTCCTCAGGGGACTGTGGTCGGGGAATCGCTGATGGAGTGACAGGCTCGACTGATGGCGTAACAGTCTGCTCCGAGGGCGATTTGTGGTCTTCAGCTAGCTCTGCTGTTGGAGGTGCCGTCGGCGGAGGGTCGTTCCTGGGTTTCTGGCTAGGTGGCATGTTTTCTGAAGTGTAGACTGTGTTGAAGCGGACGTTGTAGCGTTGGTGTCGCCCACCGCCGTTGGTCTGGTCGAGAGTGGGAGAAGGCAGGGGGTTCCTGAATCCAGAGTCCGAGTTTGGTGCTGCAGCAGGGACTCGCCCCTGTTGTGGTGACCTAGTGGGTTCTGGTGCAAACTGAGCGGGTGTAGACTGTGGCGGAGGGTGCACCGTTCTTAGGCCAGCTGCTCCGGTTTCTGGAGGGGGCTGGCTTTGGTTCAAGCGGGACTCGCCTGGAGGGGAATGGGGTGCAGATGGCCCGATAGGGTGGGAGACGGGGCGAGATGCTGACTGACGACGGCTATCGATGGCAGGGTGAACATAGGAAAAAGAAAAGGCGGATGAAGGAACAGAATGCTCAGTGTCCTTGGGGTGGTCGTAGGGGTGCTGAGCAACTGCAGAGTCTTGGCGGGAGTTGACAGTTGGTGGTTGCGACGGCGCCGTGTCGTGCAGGGGTTGAGGCGGCCGCGTAGACAGTGGAGGACTGTATGGCGCAGCAGTGGTGTGTGGTAATGACTGCGAATACCTCTGATGCTGGGGCGCAGCTGGAGGTGCTCTAGTGTTTGTGGGGCTGGGGAAACGAGTAAGCACGGTTGGGGCAAGGACATTGGGTATGTGAGAGAGAGAGAGAAAAGATGAGAGTAGAGGCCATGACTTACCTAACGTGAGGGCTCGCGTGATTAATGGGAGTAAAGGCAGCGCGGTCTGCGGCGAGCGGCTGGTTTGCAAAGTCGGCGGAAGCAAGGCCGTTGGGCGGAGTGGAGCGTGAAGCCGGACGGTCGATTGGGGTTGGAGGCAGCGGATGGGATAACGGTGGTTGGGGCTGGTGGTGGTGGTGGTGGTGCTGGTGGTGTTGGTGGTGTTGGGGCGGAGGTAGTGATGGCGGAGGTGGAGGTGGGACAGTGTCGCGAGGGCGGTGCAACAACGAGTCGGTCGACGACGACGTCAGCTCGGCGAAGCTGGGGAGGGAGCGATGGGCGTAGTTGTTTGGGTCTGGGTGCTGGTGCGGGTGCGGGTGCCTGCGTGGATGCCAGTCGCTGCCCATCATGGCATTCGGTGGTTATATGGTCGGGTGCGGCGGTCAGCGGGCTGGAGGAGAGAGCTGTGCAGAGGAAAGCGGTGGGTGGCACAAGAAGACAGTCGCACGGGAGAGTCTAAAGGGTCTGGGATTCGAGCAGATGCAGTGCAGCTCCGCTCGCGGGCCAGGCAGAGGATGAACCGGCTGGAGCCCCCCTGGTCGAGGGGCGGCTTGGGAGGTAGGCCTGGCACTGGTTTGTGCTGGCTGCGGGGGAACGCGCTGCTGCAATGTGAAGAGCAGGAGACCCACCCGCGATGGCATGCAGCGGGGACCTAAACCCGTCCTTGGACCCATGCGCGCCACACTCGAACCCCCGTGCGCTTTTACGGCCGGGAGGCCAGACGCGCATGGGTGCCAGCCGCCAAGGGGCTCGGGGCTGGCGGCAGGCGATCCGTTGGGCGGGCCTGAACTTACTGCTTGTGCACACGCTCCCAAGCCGCCCCTCGTCGCCGTGCGCTGCCTGCCTGCCTGCCTGTCTGTGTCTGTGTCTGTGTCTGTGTCTGTGTCTGTCTGTGCCTGTGCTGTGCCTCTCTGTAACTAAGTAACAATGTACTTGGCTAGTAGTAAGTAGTAAGTAGTCAGCCTCTCGTCTCGTCTCCTCTCGGCCCGATGGGCGACATTGAGCATGCCACTGTCTGTGTGTCCAAGTACATGTAATACTACTAGTATGCCTGTATTGTATTCTACTCACCTATCAATCCATCCATGTACTTTTGCCCATCTGCGAATACGTACCTTCTTCCTTACTTACTCCCTCACCTACTGACATGATACATACGTAAACACACTTTCTCTCCCCCCTCCCATTTCCCCTCCCCCTTCCCCATCCATCCATCTACATACCTTACCACTACATACTATTGCATACACTAACTCGCATTGTACACGTCTACCTATCCCATCCCCCCATCCACCCATCCACACATCCACCCATCCATCCATCCGCACACGTCCTTCCTTACTCACCCACCACGCTGCCCGTGCGGCTTACCACCCTCTTTGCGCACGGCCACAGCTTCTCCCGCCCGTGTTTTCCCTTGTGCCTCTGCCCTGCCGTCGTCGTGCGCCCACCGCGGCAAGCGGCCACGGCCACGCAGTCGCCTAGAATAGCCTGCCACTACCACCACTACCACCACCACCATGGTTACCTCTCCACTCGTCACGTGACCGTCCCTCCCTGCTAGCCCTGCTCTGCAAACCATCCTTTCCACAAACATCTCCCACCGCCACGCCCGCCCGCAACAGGCTGCCCCAGTCCAATTTGCCTGTCCGCCGCCCGTCCCACCATTCCTTTGCTTGTTTGATGAGCATCCTCCTGCACCTGCTTGTGCGGCTGCAACCGGGTGAACCCAACTGTGGGCTTCCCGCGGCGCCCACCCAAAGGCGCCGCAAACTCCATCGACAACAACAAAAAGGGGGTTGCTTGTAGCCGATCCATCAACCTCGCCCCTCTGCCCAAACACGGCCATGATGACAGTGATGCTGATGCTGATACCGCTGCTGTCGTGCTGTCCTTGTTTAGTGGCGGCTGCCATAGCCGCTCCTGCTCCTCGTGCTCCTGCTCCTGCCATAGCCGCTGCCGCCTGCGCCAAGCCCTCACCACAACCACAACCACATCACTCGTCCAGCCCGCACCAAACCTGCTCACCTCACCCAACACATGGTAATCTGATCCGCCATTCCCTCTCTTGCAATCCTCGCCACTCTTGACTTTGTCGCCCGCCTCCCCCCTTTGTCCGTCTGTTTCGGCTAGCACCCAACGGTGCTTGTGGCGTTAGCTGGCCGGCTTCACCTGCGCCGTTCTGACGCGCTCGCTCAACGGCCATCCTATCCACCACAGCCGAAACCCTTGCCCTCCATGGCCCTTCACCGATGAGAGGCGCGCCGACCCTCATTTACCACTCCCCATGAGGAAACGTCCCGTGCCCGCGCCTTCCTCGTCCTGCTTCCTCGGTATCCGGACCCGCTCCTGATTGGCCTGTCTGCACTCCTACGCTTGACCGATCACAGCTTTCTCCCAAGCACCTCGTCTACCAGAGACCCCTAGCCAGGAAATGCTCATACACACATATTCTGGGAGCCGCTAGTCACTCTGCAGGACATGTCGCCGAGTCAGAGCATGGCATCCACCTCGTTTCCCATCACAAATGTCCTCCCCGTCACGAGCAACGACTCGCATGCCTTGCTTGCCTTGCCTGCCTCGCGATCTTTTCGACCCTCTGGACTTGCTTGGCTTTATGGTCTGACAATCATTACTTACAGTAGTCGCTCTTCGGGTACTTGCATAATGATCCCACCCAGCTTTTAACGCCATATGTCGCTAACGAAGATCACTCAATTGCGTGGTCCTAGACTATGGTTGCTTTTTTTGCTCTCCTGTCGGTTACCTGTACGCGAGCCTCGACAAATGGCTGAATTGGGACGCACCAATGGCCCTCCAAGCCTCTTACGGTCACCACTGGCCCATGATGTCTCTCTTTCCGGTCACTTCTCTGCACTATCACTTGCCCATGCACAATATCCACTTCATCATCACCTGAGAGAGCCACTACGGCATGCCGCAACTGACCAACGGCCCGAGTACCTGAGCTTTCGACTCTTGCCCGGGCCAGCTATCCACAGAGTTTCACAAGTGTTTTCTGTCGTTGTACAGACCCAGTGTCCTGACAAGTTACACCACATGCCAGGACGCTTACAGCCCTAGCCCAAAGCTGAGTTGAAAGCCGTCGCCTCAATATCATGCCGCTGCTCTTCTGTCCGGAAATGCATGCTCTAACTAACACGTCCCTTGCTTGCATCCACACCGTGCAATGCCAACAACAACACATGTCTTATCCCGGGCAAAGTCACATCCTGGCACTCACATCAGCCGTCTCAGGTAGCCATATCCATGGGCGGCTATCCAGACACGTACGTCGCCCGTGTCGTCTCACGCCAGAATTAGCGAGTCCACCCAAGTGGTTGAGACATATGAATGCTAAGCCTTGGACTTACTCACACTGCATCCCTGCCGTCGGAAGCAATTCCCCGGTTCTCGTGCATCCTCAAAACCACGCTAACTACCAACGCAGGATCGTCGTGGAAGAAACGTCGCGCCGATCAATTGCAGGCAGATGATGCATGACCAATACTTAGCTCGCCCCGGCAGCTTAGATCCGTAAGCCTCTAGAATTTTTGCTGATACCGTCCAACCGATAGCTATCACTTCGCTTAGCCGTGCATATTTTCCTGCACGACATCGAAACATCCAAGCCGCCTGGCCATGCAAAACACTCTCGCCCAGGTTAGCCTTATGCTACAGCAAGCAAATACAGTCGTCGATGCAAACATTAACCTCCAGTGCTAGTCCAAGTTCAACATTGCTCAACTTACCTTTGCCACTGCCGATTATTGTCTCCCCATGGCACTTCGGACGACCGTGTCTCCTCCAACATGGCTTGATAGTCAGTCTCAACATGCCGGCCCTCGGGTCTCCATTGCGGTGCCTGGATGTACATAGGCGTAGCTCGTATCAGTTGCTAAACAGCGCGATGGATCCGATCGACACGGTTGCCTGCATTCCATTTGTTAGTCACCAGCATATGCACCCATGGCTTCCATAGGCAGTCATCATTGTTGCAATTTCCCAATAGCGTGCCGCACACGCTACGGGGCAACGGGCCTTGAAAGACTTGACCGGGTTAATGCTCCTTTCCGCCTTCAAGTGCGTGTTCCGCAGTTGGAAAAAGGTCACTCTGCCGTCGGTCGGTCCTTTTTGTCGGAAGGTCACCATCCTCCTGCTTTAGTCAGACGCAGTCGTGCCTCGGCATTTGATATTTTATGTGGAAAGATGGGCGAGAGCGTGCTCGTGATGGATCGTTGGATCGGAACTGGTCGGCCCCAACAGCAATCTGTAATACACTTTTGTAGCAACAGCAGCAACGACGACGACGCTTTGGAATTAGCACTGTCATCCACCAAATGGAATCCATAAACATACGTTAGCTTTGGCACAGTATGTTTACTTACACACATGAATGCCTTTCAAATGTGTCTCATTTGGGCGTGCATGGACCAACGGTTTCACTACCTTCCTATTTCTTTGTGGGGCTCGCTATCCGGGCCGCGTCCGTACCTTATTTTAACCCCCCAAGACCAACAGAGAAAAGGATGCGCACTGCTCCTGAAACAATTTATTAGCCTGTGGGGAGAGTAAAAAATGAGTCGGATCAGTTGCGCTGATTCAATCTTTGTCGCAGGCGGGCGGAGGCGTTGGCACATGGGTGCATCCACAACAGTGCGAGGGGAACGAAGAGCAAGATACCCTTGCCAATTGGACGAACCCGTGCGATTGTAGTGTGTGTGTCCAATAACGAAGGAGTCTACATCCATGCCATCATCCTACAGGATCGTTCCTAGACGTGGATTGCATCGAAGGAGACGGCTTCAGAGCCTTCGCGAACATGATACGGTTGTGCGTTTTTTTTTCACCTGCACGACATCACCATGTGCCCCGAGCAAGGCTTGGGCTGTGCGTCCACAGGCATCCAGCCACTGTTCAATGCCGCCGGTGGATCCTCAAATCCTTCGCCTGGTGGCTCTAATGGCCATCCATGTCCATTCTTCTAGATGTTTTCAAAAAGAAATCATTTAAGCTCGTGGTGGTCATCGATCCTACTACATGATAGGTGGCATGGCCGATGAAAGGCTCAGACGCTTGTGTCGATCCGGATTGCTACCACCTCATGGCCATGTCAACTGCGCTCGACACGCCATAGGTAAGCGCTTGCATACCCATGTTGTCCTTGCCGGGATGGCCTTGTGTTCTTGGAGACACACAATCTGTCTACCAGACATTGCCATTCGCCTTCAGGACTTGAAATCGCTTTTACATTCATTCTGTTTCCGCCGAAGTTCTACTCCACTCCTATTCTCAACCTGTGCCGCGTCACCTGCATAAGGCTGCACGGTGATCGCCTTATCCTACCGTTTTAGACATGGACAATTCTGGCCACGGATCCATGCAGCCGGAGGCCTATTATGAAGCTCCTCTGCCATCAACACAACGCCACCCCAGACCATCATGTGTTCTAGACAGCATTGAACATAATCCAGTGACATGCCGGTTCCCGTGGCAGGGGTGCTGGAGAAGCAAGGCTGCAATGGAGAAAAACGCAAAAGTGGTGACAAGATACAGACCGCTAGTCAAGGGATGTATCATTGGGATGTGGAGATCGTATTTGATCAGCTGATCGGTCATTGCAGAGTCGAAAACTGGAGCGCTATCTTCCTAGTCTATGCAGCCGCCGTGTTGTTGAATTGATTATAACTGGATACGAATATTGACCCAAGAGGAGTTAAAAACAAACGGAGGATGGAGGTTGTGCGAGATTACGATTTTTCATACGGTGCTAGAAGATCAAGGAGCATCCAAATCATGCAGGCAATCAATTTGATCGTCGCGACTCCTATAATATCTGTGACGGCTTGGTCACATTATGCATCGCCATCGCCCTGTAACACACCATCTGCTATGCGCTGTAGATCATACTAGGCGTCTGCGTCTTGTACAGCTTATTTGTTGAGACGAATTGAGGCTGCCTCTGCGAGTCCCTCGTGCAGCCACGCGCCTCTTTCCTCTCAGAAAGAGCACATGATCACGCCTTCTCCAGAAACAGAAAGTGTATGAATGACGCACCGTGCTTTTGAAGACTAGGCGTATGTACTTCCATGTGTACATGGATAATACAAGGGTCATCTACACTTGGCAGGATGCGGTATAATCGTGGGCATCCATGCGGATGATCCATTCATGATACGCTCAAAGCCAAAAAGCCCCTTTGCCCACACGACCTCGCCGTCTCCTGATATCAAATGATACTTTCAAGCCACTCAGGCTGTATTCTGCTCAGTGTAATGTCCTCTATTCTAGACTATGCTTTCCTTCGCCACAGCCTTGTTCTGTAAGATGACTATCAGCCAGACTGGCCCATTCTCATCCACACGCCCTAACACTTATCACGCCCAGAACGCAGATCTCCAACACCATCTTTTTATCTACCAATCATACTCGATGAGTGGCTTGCTCAAATCCTACTCTACAAGCAAGCCGGCGTCCACACATCTAGCGTCAGCCATATAGGAAGAAAAAAAGAAGGAAGGAAGCCTCAAAGGGACATATCGTAATGGAGATCATACAAGTATTGCTCTCTATGCTCTGCCGAAGCTACCGCCCGTAGTAGCCACTTGAATGGTGGTCTCATGCGTAGTACTTACGTCGGCTTACATGGCCGAACTCTTTGACGAATATCTTTTTCCTTTTCTCTCTTGCTCCCGCAATCCTCTCCACATTCACCCCATTTTCCGCCTTATGATGTTATGTTTGTTTTTGGCTCTGCCCGCTGCCTGAACTCCTGTAGCCACAAGCCGTATGTATCCATGAGTGGTTACGGAGAAACAAGGAATTGGTGGAGGAAATACCTGTCCTTTTGGCGTTTCCCACCTACGGCTATGGCGTCTGCATATTGCATGTTGCATGTTGCATGGTGGGCAAGGGAAGAAGGGGGGTGAGGGGTGAGGGGGGATAAGTCATCAACCAGAGGAACCGTGTCTCCCCTGTCCCACAGACTTCCTTTTGCTACGCCACCTAGTTTTGCTTCTCCCCCCTAGTCCCAGAAAGCGGAAATATGAGCGACGCTAATGGCGCATTGCAAAAAAGCGGGACAAAATGGGAAAAAAAAGATAAGCTGAAGATGTTACGCGCATGCATGCATGTAATGCACGCACCTTAGTCAAGTCTGTCCGGCGACGACACATCGGAATGGCTGGTGTGGGGTATGCACTGTAGATTCAGGATTGCTGACCGTTGGATGGAAAAAGCAAAAACCAAAAGCTAGGCTGACGATAAAAGCAAAGGGGCAAAAGATGAGGTTTGGTTGGTTCATTGGAAAAAGAAAGAAGCAAACAAAACCTAAACCTAACCTAGACAGTCTGCTAGTATTATCAGATCAAAGCTCGATTGCCGAGTTCGCTGTCTAACCTCGTACGCCCTGTCTCCACTATGTCCTAAAGAGGAACTAGTCTTGTGCTTCTAGCTTTCCCCCTCCCCCTCCCCCCCCGTACAGCGTGACGCTCGAACAACACGCTGGTTTACCCTTTTCGCTCCTTACTCCTCTCGGCAATCCTTTTCTTTTCTCACCACTCGCTTTCATTCCCTCTCCCGTGACCGTATATCTTCAACGCCCACCCTCATTCGGCCTTTGCGACGAGACCAACCCAGTAAAAGTTCCCCTTCTGTCACTCTCCGAGTTTCATCAAGAATTCTTATCAATTGCACTTCTCCATTTACGCCCCCCTTTTTTGGGGGCCTCGAACTTACACTAATGTTCGTGTGTATGGGGCGTTTTGTCCTTTTACACAGGTAAACCTATTACGAGTTACTTTTGCTCGAGAAGAAGGTGTATACGTAGGAATTAGCCACAAACAAGAAGAAGAAGAAGAAGTACCGGGAATTGAACAACTGAACCCCAAAAATGAAGAGAAAAAAGAAAAGAAAAGTGAGAGTGTAAAGAAAAACAGCGGTGGCGCTGTACGCATGCATACCCATCCCACCCTATGACAGAAAGAAAACAAAAAAAAAACACAAGCATAATGCAGAATTGCTTGCATAGGTAAAGTAAAATCCCCAAAGAATCCCGTATTTACCAAACATGGGCAAATGCAAATGCAAAAAGAAAAAGGTCACCTTTTCTACCCAATGCATTTCAACGCCCATAATAACGGCGAAAACAAAACTATTCTGCAATCATAATTTTCCTTTTCTTTCTCTTTGTTCCCAGCTATTCGGTAAATATTAAGTGATGCAAAAAAAAACCTTTTTTTACAGGTAACAGCAACCGATATAACAACGACGGCGGCGGTCCGAGTTTCGCTCTCTCTCTTTCATATATCTAAAGGTGAATAGCCGACTTCAACCTTTCCCCCCCCTTCTCCTTCCCGACTTAACCTCATTTTCTACAAGCAAAAAAAATCACAAAAATGTACCTCAGACCTGGTTCCTTCCCCCCCCCTTTTTTTCCCTTCTTATCCTTCTTCTTCTTTTTCTTCTTCTTTTATAGACTTGGACTTCTAAAAGGAAAAAAAGGGGAAAAAAGGTTATCGTAAGTGGCCGTAAGCAGAAAGGAGAGAGAGGAGAGAGGGGGGAAGAGAGAGAGAGAGAGAGAGAGGAAGAAATGTATATAGAAAAAAAAAGATGGGTATCTGTCTAACGGGTGATTATAACTACTATTGCCAAGTGAACACTGATATAATAAAACTCTCCAAATTCATGGTACAGAGAGGTCTTTGATTTTGGAAATTGGGGGCGTGTACGCTGTATAAGTCGAGTAGCCAGTACCATGGCACAGTGAAGAAGAACCTGCAGAGAGACAAGATACAAAACTGTCTGATACTTTACATCACATATCATTCATTCAAGGTGAGGCAGCAACAACACACTTAGATCACAGGTTATTGAACGATATCCAAGAACACACACTATGTCATCATTTCATATGTCACAATATCCAAACTATTTTGTATGTACCAACCACGAATTACAACCCGATCATCGCCGACCACATCTACCGACTACCCAATCTACTTGCCAACACCATTTGACCCTGCCATTTCATACTCTCGTGCATCCTGGAACAAATCGATGATGCAGCTGGCACTCCAACTCTGCGTGGGACATGAGTCGCCACAGAAGTCGCCGTCCTTCTGCGTCAGCTCCGTCAGACCAGCCCAAGGAGATTCCTGAATAGCCTTCATGCAACCGGCCAGACGACGCGTGACTTGTTGGTAGCTCTCGATGCGCTCTTCGGGTGTCTTGCGGCGCTGAAGGTCGAACTTGAGCATGGCACGTAGGAAGAAACCTGTAGGCCAGAGCCATTCAGGTCCCTGGTGGTAGTTACGGCCCTTTGACGTGTGGAAGTCCGTGGAGTCTTCGCTGTTGATGTAATAGCCCCGGTAGTTGAGGTCAGAGGGATCGAGCGTCTTCATGCCCTGAGGTCCTAGGAGCACTTTGTCGGCCATCTGAAGGGCATTCAGAGCATGCTCGGGTTTGCATAGGTCCGGAGCAACCACCAGCATGACAGGGAAGTTGGGCCTCAATTGGTAGTCCTCGTACTCCTTGCCTGACCGGTACAAGTCCTTGTAGATTCCGCGGCGGTTGATGATACTGGGGTTGATGTCGTAGTTTCCATCTTCCTCAGCAGAGTGAGGAACGTAGAAGCACCGCTCAAAGTTGGCCTTGATCAAGTCGGCCCACTCCTTGTAAGTAACCTTCTTGCCGTCGTCCAATTTCACTCCCTCGTACTGGAATTGGCCTGCTGCGTACATG